CGGGATTGATCTGGGGAGTCTAAATCGGCATTGAACCCAGTTTAGCTGAGGCTTAGTTATAATCACAATCTTAACCCTTTTACCACCCAACCCTTAACCCAACCCCGATTTGGGCTCCTCAGATCAATCCCGTTGACGGATGATTGCTGATGGCAAAAAGATCGATAGAACTAGCTGAGAGACAGGCAAAACGAAGGACCCGGATGGTGTGGTGGTGAAGTGCGCTGCTCCCCGGTAAGGACAACAGCACGTGTTCGTTCCCCACTGCATACACCTGCGGTCCGGAGTTTTGCAAATATCTCAGCATTTCATTCAAGTTATGTTTCGCAACATACCCTGCCATTAAGAAGAAAAAGGCAGTAAATAAAAGGGTTAAGATTGTGATTATCTGAAGTCTCTTAAAAGTTCCTTAATGAAACTGTGTTTTGAATTGTTTCCTTCCCATAACAATTTTTCATTTTCCCATTTTGCTGTTGCAAAATTTTACATGACGCCCTTTCATAAATCATTGATAATTTTCCTCGATGTATATATTAATCCCGAATATTGATTGGCACAGGTAAACAATAATACTTTAGGTAAACTTCCTCCCTCTTGTGCTTATTCTACGATCTACCTTTTTTCCTATTCGAGATTGATATTGATGTTGAGTATCGATCAGGTTTTGGATTCATAAGACATTATTGACTAAAATCAACTACGAACCCGTTATATGAGAAAGATGCTCCTTCCATAATTTCCAGGATCTCTAACCCATTTCCATATTTCGCAAAGACCTCAGAACCGTGTAACTTTTAGTATTAATGCATTAATTATAAACACAGTTGTTTTTACTTAGGGATAAATAAGTGAGTGTGCTAGAAAGATTTTTTTTGGAGTCACTAGCAGTGAAATCGTTAAAAAAATCGTGGCCTCGTTAATAGTAATAGTAGAATTCTGGTTGCGTGAATTACAAAAGAAGAGCTGAATTTAACCTCGGTATAAATAATCAATGCTTTCTTGAATCATTGTGCTAACAAAAGGTTGGTAAATAGCTCCATGTTGTCTGAGCGTGTTCAACCCTTTCTACGGGCATAATATAAAGTTCGTATTTGTTGTTTTTCATCCACAAACTCTATCATCATCACTATCACCACCATCAGCAACAGCGACAACAGCTGAAAGGATCATCGAGCCCAGTGTTGTAAAGAATGAGTGGGTGTTGTCGAGACGTCGTGTCGATCAATCCGTTATGTTAGTCTGCCGTTCCGTCATGATTCGCTTTCATTATTATTTATACAAACATCTAGAAATCCTGCCCTCAGTTCTCTTTCGCAGGGTCTGCCCTGAACATGACCATGCTTCGCAGATCTTCTGGCGTGTTGTTAATTTCTATATTAATTTTCACATGAAGTTATAGTAGACTGAACCATCGACGTCAACGTTTTTCTGCCATCTTCTCCAAGTACGGAGTTTCCAGATGTTGAATCTGTAGGCTATCTAGCTTAGCTGGATCGTATTCATTTACACTTTACATGCAAACGTAATTCTATTTAAGCATATATGCTTAGGCCAACCAAACTCACCATTCCTACGAGCTTGGCGGATCGGTAGTGAACTTGTCTGGGTGGATAAAACTACTGACGCAATACAGTAATAAGGAACCATTGGTTATTGTACTGCCCAGTATTCACACAATCACCTCCACGACTCAACCAATGGAGTCGAATGCGCTGTGTATTACTAAGGGATAGATAAATATACACTGAACGCATTTTTACGTTTTTTGTTATAGCGTTCCAAGTACTAAACGAACCAGGCTGACCTCAGGATTCCAGGGAACTACAATGGCTTAACCAGCAAATCTCCGATAAATCGTGATTATGCTGGGGCCCGCACAACTAGTGAGGACGGGCCGTTCAAGTGCCAACTTATAGTGTTTGTGCGTATGTACAAGTTGCATCCTGCATGTCGGTTTTCCCAAAAGCATATAACGAAATGATTCGATGGCGACAGGTTTGCAGTCACTTTCGGCAATAGCACCTACTTTTCTAGAGCTTTTGTGACTAGCCGTGGTTACCGTCTTACCTAAAAAAGTAAGTCTAATGGTTCTCATTTCCCTGACTCTTGAACAGTCTTTTATACGATTTCGTCGAAAAGCATGGACACGAGAAAGCTTCCAGGTTAATAGGCTGACAATATTGGGAAACGCGTCAGTGAAGCTCGGTACTTGTAACTTACGCATGATATCATTATTTACTTGCATTCAGGACGTATTATCTAAAAATTCCAACAACATAAAATACATTATTGGGTTATCCGAGGTAAGAAGACACCATCGTTGTTGTTTAAACTGCCAGTTAAGAACTCCTAATTGGAGCGCGCGATAGTACGAAAGAGGACGATGGTAGTCATTAACACGAGCCAAGACCTCACTTTGATTCTCTCGAACAACTAATGACCTAAACCGAAGGAGATTTGGATGACTTCTAACTTTGACTGCCTTCGTCTTCTATAGCCCAATGTCAAGTTACGACGATAATATGGAGCTGCTAGAGCTAAATATTCTACGGAAGCGATGGGGACTTTTACAAAGTCATCACCATCGACTTCAGCGAGATAGAACGATAAATGATGTTAATTGGCTGGGCTGAAATTCTTATAGCATTTAAAGACCACTCAAGTATGTTTTCTTTCATGATGTTCCTTTTTCTCATCAAACCACTTCCGGTTGTTGAACGAATGAAAATGAAAAGAAAACGGAAAGCAGATTGAATGATAATAAGGAATAAGGAGAAAGAACACATATGTGCACTTTCGGGACGAGAGATGATTCTTGTCAGATGTTTTTCGCAGTCTCCTCAACAAATGCCAGCTGTTCTTCAGCGCTTCATTGCTCCACATCTCTATTCATTCTGTCTACGTAAGGTGCACTGTTGTTTAAAGCGGTTGCACAAGATGTTCTGAATTGATTATTGTGTTGTTTTCTGTTGTTTCTTAAAATACTTTATCATAAATCTTACGATATTATGAATTGCCAATCAATATGACGTTTTCGCTGACTATGATCTGAGACAGACACTGGTTGATGCTGAGTCAAGCGTTTGGAAAGTTCCCGATCCTTTATATATTACTTTCGTGCAACTATAATTTATGTATTGCTGTCAATGCGCATCTGAACTATCTTCAGAATTCGTTAGATAGTGACGGTATTGATGCACTCATGTTTTGGAACCTCTTGAAACCTCATCATTCTCACACATAATTATTTCTTTAGCATCGAGTAGATTGAAAAGAACACCATACGAAATCTTTATATTCCTAGAAGTTACTTTAACAATGGTTAGGATTGTTACTGATGGTGACTATGTTCCGTGGTATTCACGACGTTCTTGCCCCGTGTTCTGCTACCCATGCGTGCCAGCCTATATGGGTATCTGGCCGGCCAGGTTTGATCATCAGAATTTTTCTCAGAGGCGATTTCAAAAGTAAATTCAAATGAACCAAACTAAATTAAGAAACTATCGCCAGTAGTAGCTTAAAAGAGGGATATCTTATGATTGGGTCTTCTTAGTACTATTTTTTATTCTCAAAATTGAACATGAATCTACCTAAAATAGCGTTTTTGTTAAGTATTGTGAAACAGCCTTCTACTAGGCTGACTTTTTCATTGATTTTTGACTGCTTCTTAGCCGTTTCGAAGCTACTTAAAAATCTTTCTACTTTACAATTTGGCTAAATAATAAGCCAATTCCATACTCCTTCTAAACTGGAAAAATCAGAGTCATCTACACTTTTCTACGTCTTGAAATGTTACCGTAATCCTTCGGTATTGATCTAAGCACAAATTTTGGTCATACTGTGGAAGGTTTACGAAGAGGACATACCGTATTGGTCGTAACGCATAGAAATAGTTACGCAACCACGGCGAACTTCTCATATGAAAAGAAAACTGGAGCACACCTCTTATCAAGAGATCAGTTTTGGCCAAGATATCAAGGAAAATTGATGAGTACCTGATGGTGTCGGAGGCTTTCGATAACTCAGGAACTCCCTAAATATCACTGATGGCTATCGATTGAAACTAAGAAATCGTTTGCCACCTCACCCATAAACTCTATGATGATGCTATTCCTTACTACGACGTGGATGGATATTCCATTAACCCACCATGAGTGATAGATATCCGCTTTTTTAGTTAAAACTCTAAATTTCTGTAGCTCTTTCTTCAATTCAAATCACAGAACATTAGCTAAAAACTCATAATCATCAAAACGATCATACATACACTATTTTTACTACTGAACCTCTTTCTTACGTTCCTCAGAAGTTTTCTGCAGTTTGCAACGGTAGTAATCTTAATAAGGTCTACGTGCCGGAAAATAACTGCGCCTTCGAACTTTAAATAAGCTCATCTGAGATCACAGAGAACTTTATTAAATGGCACAGAAGCCCTCAGAACACAACGACCTTGCCAAACGGAAGTCCCTTTTATTTCTCAACAATAGAACTCTAATTTTTTAGGCTTACAATGACCTATTTTTTCCTCCTTTTTTGTTATATATCATATCTGGAGTAACGAAACATTTAAGTAAACTGCATTTGGGCTTTCATAAGGCCGCAATAGCCCGAGTATATCCTTGGATGCTGCTATATGTCAGACTTGAGTTTAAAATAGTAAAATTCTTAGCTGGGAATGTCAAAATCGTATAATTCCTAGATGATTTGATATGGAACTGGCGTTTCAAAAGATGAATTATACGAGCTCTTAAAGCGTTGTGACAAAATCTCTTCTATAAGTCTGCCAAGTTCTCAGGTTTTAAAGTGAGCTGGTTATCAAACTTTATCGGTGTTTGTTCAAAAATCAGCACTGTTGCGAATACGTAACATGCATAATTCAACATCTTAAGAACGTTTAAGCGGATTTTTCCTACTTTCTTACTTAGTTTTTATTACTTTTTTCCACTCCAATTCTAAGAAACTTCGGGAAAAACCTTTACATCAGTGAACGCCTACAAGAGTTTTTAGTATGTGTATTAAAATGACGTAAGAAGAGAAAAAAGCATTTTCTCAACAAAATGCCTGAAGTTTAACAAGATCGGATATCAGGGTAAGCGATTGTAATTTACCATATCATATTACTGGTATGGTGGAACGTTCGTTTGTTATGAAGCGGTAAACGGGTCCCATCTGGAAAATACCGTAATCAAGTGCTTCGACGTGCAGTTGAAAATTTTCAGGCGATGCGTGTTAATGGTTGGTGCGGTGCTGTTCTTCGTTGGTGTGATGATTCTTCTCGCAATGCTGCTCACATGTATTGCCGTCGAATGTTCGAATATGTAAGAGTATTTTACAAGTTCTCATTTCTACGGATTTTCTTTCACAACACTTGAAAATCGATTTTGAATCAATAACAAGAACTGCTTATAAAGCGGAACATTAGTAATAAACTGCTAGTTGCATTTAGTGAGTGTTTATAGAAAATTTAGAAGGAATGCGCATTACCCAGATTTTCATTTTACTTTAGAATATCGTTCTTTGAAACTTTTTGGTATCCAGAAGTCATAATTGAGAAATATTAGTACATTTAAACATAACGGTGGATAAGTATGTATAAATGGAAATATGTATCTATGTTGGGCTTGTGTGGCGCAGTGGTCGGAGGCGTCCTGCAACACACACGCGGAATCCATCGCCGAGCCCATGGTCCACCGAGCCTTCCATCTCTCCGGGGTCAGCAAATTGGTAGCAGACTTGTCTGGAAAGATAGCAGCACTGGCTCGATAGATCGGTAGGCCACCGCGACTCATCGTAAAGGCCAGCTATGCATTCAATCACCTCCATCGATACTTAATGAAATCGAATGCATGACGTATCCTTCAAGGATTGATCAACGCCACGAGCTTTATCCTTTATGTATCCATGGACAGTAAATATACTTGTTTATTATTCGTTACTTTTACGTTTGTACGTTCATTTAATATTATACTTATCATTTATGTTTTTTGTATTATTCCTTACTTACCAACTATATACTTGTTCTTTTATATATATATATGTATATATATATATATATATGTATATATATATACATATATATATATATATCCTTCCAACGGTTTTTCCGCCTCATTGTGGATGGTAGGTGTTCTTCGGTGTCGGAATGCAATGTACAGCGGGGATTTATCTCCTGGCGGAGTCTCCCAAGCTAAGAAGAAGTCCGACGTTTCCATCAGGAAACCTAGCTAAGAGTAAACCAATGATCCAGGATCCACCACCGTCCTAGTATCAAAGTCCCATGGTGGCAAATCCCCCTCTGATGCACAAGAGTGCGACCGCCTGTGATGGTGAAGACCTGGGGCAGACTTTGGCCAGGCTGACCTCGGGATGCCAGGAAGCTACAAAGGCTTAGCCAGCAAATTTCCGAAGAATGGAGATTGTGTTGGTGCCCACTCAGCAAGTGAGGACGGGCCATTCAAGTATCAAGTATCAAATATATATATATATGTATATATATATATATACCTGTACGCATATATGTACTATGGATATGTTCATACCCACTATATATGTATGTAGGAAAATAAACGACCATAGAAGCATAGATGCATAGTGAACCACGTTAACATCTATGAGTCATGTACAACTCACATCGCGCTCGGAGTATTAGAGATTTTTACATAAAACATTGAAAAGTAGAAGCTAAGTGCGAAATACTATAATTGTACATTGCATGACAGTAAATGGTAGGGTAATATAACTGTCAATCCACTACGACGAACTCTATTCTTATCATATGTCATCTTGTGTTATCTGCAATCGACAAAATCAATCAGTGGGAATAATTTTTTAGACCAATAACTTATTGTTCTCATTATTCTTATTTTGCAAACACAAGGTGTTATTTTATTTCTTTATTCACGCACAAGCTGACATTTCGGTGGATTTCGCCTTCCTCAACCCTGGAAAGGTCAAGTTGACCGCAATCTACCCAGCCGAGTACCTCCACAAGCAAACAGAAAATGCTAAACCAAGATTTCAATCACATTGAGCACAAACTAGCTTCTTTGCACACTCACCTCTTTCTATTAGTCTTCCACTGAATATGTCAAGTGGGGACCAAACACAGAGAGTTCAAATTTAGGCGTAATGTCCTCCTTACATCAGAATAACAGGTTTAAATACTGTCGAATATAACGTATGATTACGAAGTATTCCTCCTTGCGATTCATTTTCGTATTCTTGGAACTAATCAGGAATGCCTTGAGAGTTTTGCGCGCTTGTGTTTTCGAGTCGGTAAAGTTAAACCAAATGCTCCATTAGGCACGCATAGGACACAGAGACATAACGGGGAAGGTTTTGAAGTAGAAGTTTCGATCTTCTCACAGTAAGCGAAAACGCAAGCGCCTGAAACTCTTGAGTCATTCTGGATTAATCCCAAGAATCCGAAAAGTAACCTCAAGGAGGAATGTCTCGTAATCACACGTTATATTGGACTGTATTTAAATCGGTTATTCTGATGGGAGAGACGCATTACGCTTCTACGTGAACTTTGTGCAGTTGGTCTCCACGCGACATATTCAGTAGAAAGTCTCATAGACAGCGGTGATTGTGCAAAGAAGCTACTCTGTGTTCAATGTGATTGAAATCTTGGTCTAGCATTTTCTCTGTTTAGTTATGGAGGTGTTTGGCGCCGTATACTGCAGTCAACTTGACCTTTCCAGGCTCTGAAGAAGGCGAAATCCGCGGAAACGTCTGCCTTTTCTTGAATAAAGAATAAAATAATACCTTGTGTTTGCTCAACAAGAATATAAAGAATTGTTCGATTAATGCCGAGGTTAAAGTCGGTAGTGGGAGTTACTACAGGACGTACCAGGGATAATTTATAATTTACACAAGATGACATCATCGTTCCACGGAATATCTAATTGCTCCGCAATTCTTCTAGTGTTTTGCTAGAATAATTCTATCCTTCATTTTTGCCTCTTCATTAATAACTAGTGGAATAGCAATTGCTTGATAAATCTACTGGCAGCATTGTCGATCGATAAATTAATCAATAAAACAGACTTCTCAGTTCTATAATTTTGAAGACGTTTTGTATAACTGAATCTTTACAGATCTTTACTTGTTTCCAACCGTCGTCTTTATTTTTGCTTTTACTGCTGCAGTAGATTCTTTGCTCTTTTTTATTCATTTTGCGAGAGCTTCTTTCTTATTTTTTGCCTCCTATTTTTAAGCAAGCCGTTGAATAATTGCTGTACGGTTTTCGAAGGCGATTAACCTGTTTAAGCTGAATAAGTAAAAGTCTTATTCGTGCTGCTTGTTCCTGTTTGAAAAATTTCAAGGAAAGGTTTCTTTAAAATTTTGGTAAAATCTTGATCTAATAAATATCGGTCTCATGTTTGTGTTCTACAAATTCTGAATATTAAATGAATAGCACACCGTAGACCGACGGCTTACTGTGGGAGTTGATTTAGTGCTGGTGCGTTGGTACCTCTGGGTTTGATTCTGATCATCGTCGGTATTCTGCTGTTTCATTGCGCTTGGGCGGCTCATCTATTGGATGACAATGGCCAGGTACCGATCAAGTAGGTTTCGCAGTCATCTCTTCTATTTTTTTCTACGTATTCAATCTGCTTGAATAGAGGGCGCGTAGCGCAGTGGCTAGATGCTTATACACCGGTTCGATCCCGGACCCCAGACTTGCGAAGTTTTCCATCACTCCGTGGTCAGCCAATTGGTACCATATCTGTCTGGGAGGATAGCAGCACTGACCGCACACATCGATAAGCCACTGCGAATCAATCTATAGGCCAGATATGCATGCAGTCACCTCCGAACGATGCTTAATGAAGTCGAATGCATGACGCATCCTTCAGGGATTGATCAACACCGAGAGCTCCATCTTTTTTTGCTCAATCTGGACTTCTTCAATTCAAGCACTCTATTGCTTATAAATAGCCATGAACTTTTTATCGATTCGAAGAAAATATCTGCATAACTCACTTTGTTATTAACTTGCGGCTTTCGATAGTTTGTTTATTCCTTCTTCTTTTCTGCGTTTTCAGGTATCTAATGCTGTGATTTCTTTAAAAATAATCCTGTGTTTCTGTGAGGAGAAGCCATGGGGGTCAGGAATAGACTTCCTTTCCTTACATAACCACTTAGACTGAAGTGTTTCCTGAAATGAGGACGACTGAATTTTATGAGAGCTGCGCTAAGTCGCCAAAATTAAAAAGGGGCCGAACCAGTCTCAAAGTCTTTTTTTATACAGGGCATAATATCTGCCTTTGCTTTTTCTTCGCCATAGATTTTTCACTTGTATTTTTTCTTCACAAACCCTATTTCAAGCATTCATTGGGGTGTAAGCAATGATGAATACAGAAAAACCTTTAAATCTTTTTAATTTTTGGTTTTTTTTTCTGAATTTTCCAATCGGGGCGCCTATTGTGCACTGGTAGAGATGCCGTTGTTCCGATCTTGCGCAAGGCCACCGACGCTTGCCGTTCCTGCTGCGTCGGCAACTTAGTTCCAGATTTCTCTGAGAAGCTCTGTCCATTTCACAAAGGCTGACCACTGCCTTTCTAAAAAGTCCGGGAGTACTCTAGTACGGTTGTGCCAAGATTTCTTTAAGAATCGACTCTTCGATCATGCAACAACATTCACATAGATTACAAAATTTCTCAAACTGCAGCCTAACCTGCGCGTAATTTCAAAGATCTTGATAGATGGTGGATTTATGATAATGGATCGAATACGAAGACATCTGGCGCACAATGTATGATGTCAGATGATACAAAGTAAAAAATAAAAAAAGTTGACCTAAGATCACTCATGTTGTTAGTTCCATTCTTTTCCTTCTCTCTTTTTCAAATCATTTTTTCCTTGATCAACATCAGAAATCACCACGGTCTAAGGAGAAACTTACTTTAGTAGAATAGTAACAAGACTTGAGCCGATATCTTCCTCTCTATGTTTGTGCCAAAATCTGCCATATCAATTCGTCAGCGTCGATTCCCCATTCAAGTTATTGTCGTTGACCCTTGATATACGAGTGCCTTCTTTCTCTGAGTGCCTAACTTTCATTGCTGGCTGCGCCAGTAGTAAAGTTGTGACAGCTGAGCTGAAGAGCTCGACGCACATTTGGTCACTGGATAGTGTAAAGTTCACACCTGAACCATCATTTGGCGCCTACACCTACATATTAAAGTTAAAATAACCTTAAAAATAGCTCTCGGTGTTGATCGTTCCCGGAGGATTGCTCCATGTGTCCGACTTCACTAAGCATCGTTGGAGGTCATTGAATGCATATCTGGCCTTTACAATGGACTGGCGGTGGCTTATCGAGGTATCAAGCCGGTGCTGCTATCTTCCCAGACAAGTCTGGCACCAATTTTCCGATTTTGGAAGGATGGTAGGCTTGGTGGGCCATGGGCCCGGGGATCTATTCCACGTGTGTGCTGCAGAGCACCTCCGACCACTGCACCACACGCGCTCTAAAATGACCTATACGGTTAATTAAAAGTGTTGAAACTGCTGGTGTTGATCAAGTCGTAATGACACGACCGCTGCTTTCAATTCCACTATACCTGACTTGTGAGGGCACACTGATTAATCAAGTCAATGTTTTGTTCTTCCAGACAAGTCAGCTAGCAGTTCCGGTTGTAAGTTGCCGTCCTCGAAGGAATGTGGCTTGGTTCGTCCTTGGGTCGAAATCGAACCAACGACCACGTATTTGTTGCAAGGCGGCACTAACCACTACTCTACATGCGCCCAATTGACTAATTATGCATTGTTAAGAGCATTACTTAGAGGCGTGTGTGGCGCAGCAGTCAGAGGCGCCGTGCAACACAAACGTGGAATCGATCCCCTCCCCCACGGCCCGTCGAGGCTTCCATACCTCCGGAGTCGGCAAAATGGTACCAGACTTGTCTGCGAGGATAGCAGCATTGGTTCGATAGATTGGTAGACCACCGCGAGTCATTGTAAAAGCCAGATATGCATTCAATTACCTCCAAACGATGATTAATGAAATCGAATGCATAGCGCATCCCTAAGGGATTGATCAACGCCAAGAGCTTCATTTTTTATGACTTTGAGGAAATTGCTCAATTTTCTGCATATCTTCATGAAGAAGACTAGGAGATGGAGCTGGAAAGAAGATTAGCCAAATGAATGCAATGAAACAAGGCAGCGCATTTTTATTGCTCATTTGTTTATATTACCCGTCGCCACACGCTGCACGAACCCGGGCATTTTCTTTTCATTCAGTTCGTTGCCTTGTATCCCTCATTAAGTAAGGCCTTTAGATTCTCGTGTGGGTTCAGCTGCTAGTTAACTGCTTTGTCTTCTTTATGAATGCATTTGAATGATGGTTGAGTTGATCCTACCCAACGAAACCTGTAATATTTCTGATAGAGAATTTGCTAGCCTCTGTTATACACAGACGCAGAATTAGTCTTCGTGAATTAGACAGAGCCTTTCGCATAGGAATTGGTGCAAATTTCCTGACCTAAGGATGGGGGCTTGGGTGACATATGGTTATGACGAACCAGTGAGTATTCTCCTCCCTCAATTTTATAACTCCGTCTCTAACCACTATTTCTCCAACACCCTGACACATTATATTTGATTACTGAATAATTCAGATTCATGATATAATTAGTTTGCTGCCCAGGTGTAAAACAGGGCAATTCATAAACTGCAGTCTTATGACACGACTGTTTGATCACAACCTTCACCTGGTTGGAAAAGAGCTAATAGTTGAAATCACAACTCCTAGCGAAGAACTATTTTGATTTAAAATTTGGTCTATTTGATGGACTCAATTCTCTGTGTTTTCTTTTATTTAGAAAAACTGTCACTACCACAACCACAACCACCTACGAAGACCCAGAGAGTGACTTGGCTGAGCAGCGATTGCTTGAATCTGCTTATAGAGATCCGGTGCCTGAAGTTAGAGTTTCTCTTCTACTTTTCCTTTAATGAAAGATGAGAGTGAAAATGAGAAAGAACTGCATAACTACTGAATAGGCTGATTAATGAGATAGATTACTTTCATGAAATACTCGCAAATTTAAACTTCTTTGCAAGTAAAAATCGCTCGAATTTTTATCTTATATGCCTAGTTTCTTTAGCTGAAAGATTAATTTTCTTTCTGTGGTGATAAACTTTTGTTGGTATTTATTGCAGTAGTAAGAAGGTTGTCACTGTGGCTATCAGAATAGTACAGTATTACTTCCTTGTACACTTGGATACTTGAATGGCTTGTTTTCACTCGCTGTGCGGACTGCAGCACAATTTCTATCCACTTCTACCTTTTGCAATCGTGGTTTATGTTGGTGATCTTCTTCGAACATCTGAAATCGCTGCCATTTGCGATTGCACATGGTTGACGTTAGCCATGAATGCGTCCGTGCATCGTTTTCCTGGTCGTCCAAGGGAACGCTTGCATTCTTTTAGAGTCCACTACTCTGTTCTTTTCTTCACTCTGTCATCTGTTTTTATTATGTGACCGGTCCACCAGTGTTTTGCTACCGATGTGTATTCTCCTGGATCCCATGGATAGGATAGGTCTCGAAGATCTGAACTGCGCATGACGGTGAGAATCGGCTAATTTTCAGAAAACATCACTCAACGCTCTGTGGTGGTTTGTAGTATTCGTGACATGGTTAAACTATCAACTCACGTTCCTGCCTCCATAACAGAGCGCTGGGACGATTGTTGAATGAAAAAGGTGAGTGCGAAATTTCGGGTCCATTATTTGGTCGGTGTCTTCCTTGAGAGACCTGAATGCTCCCGAAGCTACTCGCTTTCTTCTCTCTAATTCTTTTTGATATTGTTCTTCTTGCTCATTAGGCGTGCAGCGTGAAGTACGAGGTGGCTTCGGTAGTCAGTGAACCATCCAGTTCGATTTATTCACCTTCGCCCAATGTGTTATTCATTGGCTGAGTGCTCATGCTACTTATCCTTATGCATAGTTTAGTCTGTTTTCCCACTTCGCTGTGTTCATTAAGCATCGTTTCTGCTCCACTGGTTCTTCTCAAAAAACGATGATTTCTTCTGCGAAACAAATATTCGATAGGAATTTTAGATAAATACTTATGCCATTCTCGCTCCAATCGAGTGACTTCGCTGCCCACTGCAATGCGCACTGGCGCACTCCGCTTTGGCGATATGGTATCGCCTTGTGGAACCCCTCCCTTTTCCTATGGGTGTGGCGTGGCATCGATGAAAAAGTTGTATATTTCTGCTACAGCTCCGATAACAGCCTGCTATTGTTCACATATGGGACGAACGCAGATAGGATTGCGTTTGTTTCGACGCTGTCAAACGCTTCATCAGCGGGTATTTTGGGATCCGTGACGAGATTGTAGAGCGGAAAAGATTCGTATAAAACCTCTCCATTATCAATTCCGTATAACGGACGGATCTATAAATAGCCCCGTGTTCGTTCGTCAGGGCGGATAGCGGAACATCGTAATTGCAAAGATCCCGAATTCACTTCTTTAGATTGGATCGTTTTTGGGCTGCTTCCAATATTTTTTCTTCTTGTACTGACGTAAATCTTCCTGCAATGGTCTTTTACAGCTGGCATTTATTATCAGCCGTGCTAGGTGTGCTACAGTAAGGTCAAGCTCCAGTGTACTTCTTTTTTCGAAGAACTCCTAGTGGTAATGGAGATTCGGTCTTAACTTTTTATTTGAGGAGTTAGGGCGAGTTCGGTACGAGTTCTAAGTCCTTTGACAAATAATTTGTAGTCTTCGGTCGTGTCCTCCTTTATCTGTTATTCATCTGAGGAGATGTTATTCAGAATATCTTTGCCATAAACGACGTGTCCTGTTTCTCTCGATTACAGAAGTACTTTTAGTGCTTCTGGCTGAATCGAATCTTCGCACTGAAAAGGCGGTGATTAGATCCTGTCCAGAGTCCAGGCACCATTAAAGTGTCAAGAAGAAACCACTTTCTGTTAGTGAGAATATGGTCGATCTTCGTGTGAGTTGTGCCGTTAGGGAGACTCCCATGTCCACTGGCGATCTTTTGTTTACGAAAAATGACTTCCTACAGAAGATACATACTGCAGACAGGGATTCTGCAATACAGTTTCCATCCTCGTTTCGTTCTCCTCTTCCTAATTTCCCCAACCTGTGCTTGTTTTCGCTAGCCGTTCCTAATTTGGTGTCGAAGTTTCCAACAACGAAGTTATAGAATGACTTCTCTTCGCGGATTTGTTCCATCAGCTATACAAGTTGGTATAGTAGCAGTCAATTATATATATATATATATATATATATACATATATATGTACATATATATACATATGTATATGTTATGGTGAGTTTCTTCTGACGTGAAAATTGGAGAAGAAGAATGGCCAAGTACAGTGATCGGATTTCGTATGAGGTGACTAAGTGGGAAATAGATGAGTTTACGAGAAGACCGACGCCTCCCACATTTCGTAACGATAATTTTTCTTCACTAGCAACAACTTCTGTAATCCAATTATCATATGTAGGCCTTCCTGCTCCTCTCTTGTAGGGGGTTCGCATGGAATTTGATGCAACCAAAGGCATCAAGAATAGCGTAGATGTTGACGTATGAAGAGACTGTTCTGGTGTTATAGGTGCAGAGCAAGAATCAATCTCCTTGGCGCGTCGTTCGTGTGCTCTCTTTTGTCTCTTTCCGATGACGACCTGTACGATCCAAGATCTAATCATTTTTCACCACCCGACTTCGTAGACGGGAGCACCCAGTGTGTGGGCTACTGAAGCTGGAGTTTTGTTGGTTGAACCACTGTAGCTCCTTGGCTTCCGGAGGTTAGCCTCGTCGAAGCTTTCCTCAGGTCGTCACAACCAGAGGTAGTCGCCGAACCTTTTGGATTAGAAGGAAATTCGCCATGTTCCAACTATTGTCATACTAGGATGGTATTGATTTCTGTTATTGGTTTTTCCTTAACTGGGCTTCCGAATGGAAACATCGGAGTCCTTTCCAGCGTAGGACACTGCTGAAGAAATGAACCCCACCATCGCAGTGTAACACCCAGGAACACCTCGCAGCCACGACGAGGCTGGAAGCCTTTGTGAGGAACACACCTTTAAAACCGTAATTTAAATAAAGCAGTGATTTCCTCATTTCGTTTGTAAGTCATAAAATTCAGGTGAAACAAGGCTTTTGGCAATTCGACGAGAAAGAATCATGGCAAGCAGTTGCAAATCCGTATCCCATTCAGTACGTTGATGTTTTAAATTTCTAACTCTTTAGAAGGTCACTAGGTTCTTTTTTACTTTAAAAGTATGAGAAGGAAGAAGTGAGAGTAGACGATTTTTAAGTAACGAGAGGCCACTGGTTTATTGGAATCGTTGGTTAACAAGTATTTAAATGTGGTTGAACGGATTTTAAGGCACCACTTCTGTTGGTTTAAAAGAGACAGAGAAAATTATATTTTTAAATAGCTTTTCCGCAAACTTTTAATTCATTACATAACATTTTTATCTTATAATATTGTTATCAAATATTTTCAGACATACTCTCAAACACTGCCTCGAACGACAACCATACTAGAATTTATCATTTCACTCCTACTTTATGTAGACATTGCCGTTATGAATAACACAGAATGGCCGTTGAAAGCATATGTATTGATTGATTTCATGTATGGGGTTGTCGTCACTTCTTTGTCCGGCGTTATCAATCAATGCGTATTTCTTTCGCTACATCCTTGTCGTTATTTTCAATCGTATTATTTTCCTCCGAACCATGATAATTGCACTTTCAGCCGAACGGCTTGCCATAGCTATTCTCGGTCGTGCTCTAGTTTACAGTTTCGTATTATTACTAACCGTTTTTTCAACAAATGTACAAATAAAGCTTTTTCCGACACTTAGGTCGTGCTCACTCCCTTCTTCTTATGATTGTGAAACAATACTAGTTATTATTTATCAGCAATCTTTAATGTATAACGTCTCTCATCCTTGAGATCAAAGAAAACCAGGTGAAATATAACTTCAACGATGCTGATATATTTGCAAAACTCTGGACCGCAGGTGTCTGCGTTGGGGAACGAACGCACTATTGCCTTTTCCGGGGAGTACCGCGTTCACCACCACACCACGTGGGTCCTTCGTTTAGCCTGTTTCTCATCTAGAAAACCAGGTGATTCGGATGTGCAAGTCTAAGCTCCGCCTACAGCTCACTTATGCCCTGCGCGCCAAATTAATTTTCACTAAAGAACTGACTAACTGTTTTCAATTATTGCTTTATATGAGATAGAGTTTAAACGCCCTCAAGCCCGGCAACCAATCAGCAAGGAGCCACGAGCACAAAGCCGCCACACGGCATTGACCGACAGTTATGGTGATCAATAAGTATCCTTTGTAGTGTGGTATGCACTGTAGCTATTGAGGACTAAATGTTGGGCTGTTCTGGTCTACACAAATTAACTAGTCTAAATGCATCATCTTCAGTAATGATAAGGTTAATAAAGCTCTTAAAGAGGACTGCACGAATTTTTTAATGACAGTAACATGCCGCTTTTCAAAGACAAAACATTAATTGTGATGCGGGGGAATAATGGGAATGTATCGGGGAAACGAGTAGACCACTTCGTGTCCGCATAAAAGAACATCTAAATGGAAAAGCTAAAATCCGTTTAAACATGGGCACAAAAGCACAACGGCGACGATTTTAAAGTGAATGTGCGGATCCTAGCGCAGGAATCGAAAACATCAACGCGCAAAACTCTTGAGGCGTTTTGGATAAATTTCAAAAATCCAAGGATGAACCGGAAGGACGAATGCCTCACTATCACGCGTGACCTGGCGCCCTATTTCAAAATGATATTTCGACCCCGGGGCGTGTCTTGCTCGCGACTCCACGTGAACTCCGTGTGGACCAGTCCCGCACGTAATATCACGGTGAGTGACCTTTCTGTTCAGTATGGCGTCTATTTGAAAGTTTGATCTTCATTAATACTTTAGCCTTCTTTTCCACCAAATAATAAAAAGTATTCTAACATAAAGTACGTCCAGGCTCTGAGGAAGGCGGAGTCGCCGAAACGTCAGCCATCGATCAATAACATCAAAAACAACTACAACGACAACGAAGATCTGTACCAACCTCACGTCAGCTTAGGAAGATCAGTTTATAAGATCACATAAATAAATATATTAATTGTAATGCTTTATTACAAAGCCGATAATGAAATAGTTCATGATCAAACATTAAATATGTGACGCTTCAACGAATGATGTTCTGTAAAAGCGATAATCGCCACAAAATATGCGTCGAAATCGATTTTAAGTTATGTAATGGCGAAGTGGTGATGAGAGGCGTAAGAGATTTGTTACGTTGGTTTTAAAGAGAACGGAAAAAGCACGTCAGAAGTTCGGACAACCTTAGTGAATTGGTACCGTACAACAATACTAATACTTTAGAAACATCGCCAACACTATCTAGTACAAAATGAAATAGTCATGATGATGTAGAGTATGTTACACATATATCCATTTTAACATTTTCCATGCTAATAGGGAATACTGTACTTGTTAGTCTCATAGCAATGCGCTTACAGCTAGATACGCAGCAGCGAGTTTGCTCCCGTTTTTGCAGCTGATTTCGCTTCATCTGCTTTTCCTTGAGCTGGTTTCGCTTCACCTGCTTTTCCTTGAGCTGGTTTTGGTTCAACTGGTTTTGCATCACCTGCTTTCGCTTCACCTGCTTTTCCTTGAGCTGGTTTTGGTTCAACTGGTTTTGCATCACCTGCTTTCGCTTCACCTGCTTTTGCTTCAGCTGCTTTTGGTTCAGGTGGCTTCTCTGCAAGACCATCACCAGCCACACCGATAAGAGGAACATTGATAGATTGTACGGCTGTCGGTTTTGCCGTTTTGAAGATGGCGGCTGCGTCGACAGTGTCCGTTGTTGCCGCCGTCCATTGAATGACCATCTTGTCATTCTTGGCACCGGCCGGCAATCGTACCACCCAGATTAAATGACTACCTTCTGGATCAACAAATCCGTACACCGGTTTTATGCGATAGTCTTTGTTGTTGGAGCATTTAACTTTGAATACTAATCGATCTCCACCACTATTCAATACCGTGAACGTCGACTTGCCGCCACTTGTCGGAAAACGTGCTGCTTTCGGCTCCACGGTCACAATACATCTGAAAACACTTATCGTTGTTTGTTGCAAACGGTAGAATTTTGATCGTTTTTGTTGCATTTGCCGTTTTGTAAGGATCTGAGTACATAGGTTACTTATATGATCGCTATTGAATTATTATTTATCATCACAGCTTAGCGTCACACTTAGCACAAGGGATCATCGGCGAAATAGTTATGGAACTCCTATATCACAGAGAACAGAAACTGTGTAATTTGGTTAGGAAACTTCACTGATAGGAATAGAATGGGTCTATTGGCAAAGAAACAATATGGTCGCCTACAAATTGTGTGGGAAATATGGAAACTGTCTGCAAGTACATTTACATAGAGACTTGGATAGCTCTTCGACGAAGTGTTAATCGCTCCAATCAACATGTGATTGACATTTGGCTGATTTCACCTGTCCAGGTGGTCAATATGGCCCATTCGGTTAGAGTCACCCACCTATATGAACCACTCATTTCGCCTACTCATGCCCACGTTTCTTTCATAGTGGTGAAGTATCCTTGGCATTTGTCTACTGTTTCAACTGGGCTTCCAAATGTAAATATCGATCAGCTTTCTTCTAACTTGAATGCTCATATTGATGGAATTAATCCCTACCGTAGTTGGACATCGTAGCTAAACATCCAGGAACACTTATCACTACAGTAAAGGCTTAAGCCAATGTGGAAGTATCCATGGTAGTCTTCATAAGTCTACTGGGCTTTGTCTTAAGTGCCTCGAATATCACTCAAGTTCATTGTGTTTCTAACATTTTAAAACTGAACTGGTCAAGTCAACTGTTATAAGGTGGAAATTTTCGGAGGATTTACGAAAAAAGCTTTGATGAATGCAGGATGGATGTGCACTATTACAGAAGGAATACAATCCAGAAAATCGATTGTTGAACTCACTTCGGCTGCTCAGGTGCATTCGGGGCTAAGTTAACGTCTTCATAAGCACCATCACCCTAGAAAAAAAATTTACTTCAATTTACATGCAGTCGATTTATGCTTAGCACTCAGTACGTAATATGCCTTCGTAATGAAATATAGTGCATGCTATCGTTATCCAACAAGACATAGGAATATTTTGAGTAGTTGGAGAGTCAGAAGAGGTTAATTCGATATTTCTTCTAGGTACGCGCACAGCGCAACGGTTCGCTCCTCCATTGGCACGATGAAGAGGGGCGGTCACTCCGTGACGGTGACCAATCGCAAACACCAAAACTCAGCACCATTCTTCAAGATTTCGCGCCTCCAGTTCTTTTTAAACTACCTAATTGTTTTAATGCAACCCTTGCTTATTCTTGTTTAGGTGCGTTGGTCACATAAAATTCCGAAACTATGACAAAAAACCGTTTCATTATGTTGTTAATGTACATTTGTTCTCGAAATCTTAATTACTTGATACTTGAATGGTCCCTCCTCACTCATTGCGCGGGCCCCAGCATAACCTCCATTCTTCGGAGATTTGCAGGTTAAGCTACTGTGGTTCCCTGGAGTCCCGAGCTCAGTCCGGCCAAAGTCCGCCCCAGGTCTTCACCACCACATGCAGTCGCAGCCCTTGTGGATCAGAGGGAGATTTGCCAACATGCGACTTCGATACCAGGACGGTAGTGGATCGTGATATTGGTTTGCTCTTAGCTAGGCTTCCTAATGGAAGCGCTGGACTCCTTCTCAGCTTGTGAGACCCTGCCAGGAAGATGAATTTATTTGCTGTACATGCCAAGCCGACGCCCAGGAACACATCCCAGTCATGGTAAGCCGTTGATAGGTTTTCGAAATCATTCCGTTTTTAATGTATATTTCGGAAATTCCGCCTTAGTATTTTGTAATGCCCACAGATTTCTAAAGAGAGGGTAGAAAATGCATTTTACTCACTGGATCACTTGGTGGAGCATTTTCTTCTGAAAATAAAACGAGATGACTTTACTATTAAGTGAAACACGTCAACTTTGTATAATTAAAAAATTTTTCGTATGAAATGCTGAGATATTTGCAAAACACTGGACCGCAGGTGTATGCGGCGGGGAACGAACACGCGCTGTTGTCCTTACCGGGGAGCAGCGCACTTCACCACTACACCATCCGGGTCCTTCCTAAAAAATTTTTCCCATAAGGTGGAACGAATCACTCTTTAAAATTGGGTAACACTGTCGGCTATAACAAGTGGTCACTCGGTTGCTTCTGATCGCTGACAGAGGTGATCCACAGAGGTTGTTTTTAGGACTCCGCAAGTTTTTCTCATTTTTTTCATGACCCATCCTTACATGAAAGATGCTGATCCCAGCACTTCTTGCATTCCATTCCTTTCCTCGTATTTATCATCCATGAACGTCTTTACAATTTCCACTTCTTCGTGAATGTCTTTCAATGCTGGATTAGTCGATTCTCCCTAGAATCACGGCATAGCTGTGCCGGAGTATTCCTTCATGGAATTGAATGAGTAAATTGGACAAAAACAAGTCTGGCACCAATTTCTCGACCCCAGAGCGATGAGAGACTTGGAGCAAGGCGTGCGATCAGACAAGCACCTACCGACCAAATCTGTAGATTACTGTGTGTTCCTGATAATGTACAAACTATTGTGATCAAGCACTAGCGATGGCGGCATTACCATTGTGAGTCTATTTCCAACACAAACCGTTTACGTTTTCATAAGCACTTCTTAAACAGCACTATCACAGTCGCTCTTGTCATAGTCAATAATTTACTGTTCTATACATAATGACAAAACTACTCACTTTTTGGTGGTGGTGGTAGCAGCGTTGTTTTTGCAGCATGAATATAGTTGGTTACGTTATCCTGGACTGTGAACGCTTCAGTAATTTCTTTGTTCAGCGGTCGAACTGCAGATTGCGCTTCAGCATTTTTCTCATTCTTTGCTTGCTCCGTTGCAGCAGTCCGTGGCTTCTTCGCTGAACCATTTTTCGAAGGTTTTGGAGTTCTTTTTTGAGGCAATCCTCGAGGTGTCGCTTTTTCTTTTATTGCGTTGACCGGACGATGTGCTTTTGATTGAAAAGAGCCTTTCTTCGTTTCCGTTGATATTGGCCTTGAGGACGAGGTTCTGCCTGAAGACTCTTCGGCTTCCACATCTTTAGACCTTCCATCTGCACTTGAGAGATTTTGCTTTGAGCATTTAGTCAATAAACTAACTGTTGTTGATATTATGCATAAAATGCATAAAAACGATGAAGATACCTGAAACTTGAAGGATACAGACTTAGCTTTTTTATTTACTGCCTATTCTTTTTAATGGCAAGGTAGATTGCGATATATAACTTTCATAATGCTGAGATGTTTGAAAAACTCCGGACCGCAGGTGTCTGCGGTTGGGAACGAACGTGCTATTATCCTTTCCGGGTAGTAACGCCTTCACCACCACACCATGCGTGTCCTTCGCTTCGCCTGTCTCTCAGAGAGTTCTATCGATCTTTTGTTATCAACAATCACCCGTCAACGGAATTGATCTGGGGAGCACAAATCGGCATTTAACCCAAGTCGATTTTGATAGAACTAGCTGAGAGACAGGCGAAACGTAGGACCCGCATGGTGTGGTGGTGAACGCGTTACTCCCCAAAAGGGTAATATTGCGTTCGCTCCCCACCGCAGACATCTGCGGTCCGTAGTTTTACAAATATCTCAACCTTATGAAAATGACAGAGTAAGGACATTATTAAGCAGTACAAGAGAATCAGTTGTCAGATTACCGTTATCCACATTTCAAGAAAGCTCTGAAAGGCGAAAATCATCTATGAAATAAACCACACTACACAGTTATCTTCCTTTTATAGTCCTGAAATTACCCTTATATTTTCCAATGTCATAATCATGAACTGTGTACTTTTTTATAATCATTGCTATGATACGGTGTATTTTTCCTTTTTCCCAGAGAAACCATTGGCGGAAAGTGTCTGTCAATCTTTGCTAATCCTGTCTTCAACTGTTGAAATAGGATTTTATGATTGTACTTTATTGTGCAGAAGTGAAGACGGGTTTTGAGTTTATAAATTTTGTAAACATACCCTATAACAAATATTTATTGCCCGCATTTTTGCTGTATGGCATTTCGAAGCTTATTTCTTTCTTAGGGAGCGCGTGGCGCAGTGGTCGGAGGCGCCTTGCAACACACACGTGGAATCGATCACCGCGCCCATGGCCTACCAAGCCTTCCATTCCTTCGGGATCGGCAGATTGGTACTAGACTTGTCTGAAAGGATAGCAGCATTGGCTCGATTCATCGCTAAGCCACCGCGAGTTATTGTAAAGGAAGTGATTCATTCAATCACTTCCAAACGATGCTTAGCGAAGTCGAATGCATGGCACATCTCTCAGAGACTGATCAACGCCGGGACCAGAAGCTTAATTTAGTTCCTTTCTTAGTAATTTGACATGTGATATTTCCTCAGAATTTGAGTTGCAATAATGTTAGCTCGGTTGAAATTATACTTTCAAGTCATAAAAGTCGCATCCTTGTAGAGAAACGGTAGCAACTAGAAGTGCTACCAAAACATGGGGCGAGAATAGGCTTCAGAATATTCTTAGGGTTTGGTGCTGAAGATATGAATCTTCATGGTGGAGAATATCAAGGGCAACCCGTTAGCAGCTGAAGACAGCCATACGAAGAAGATAACGTAAGCCGTTTCTCATGTAAGGGTTGCAAAAAACCTCAAAATTCACCAATTAAGTATTGTTTGCTATTTAGAAGACACTGAAAAGATGGCAGTAAGATTGTCATCATGACGAGTGTTCTGCACCCTCCGACCACAGATGAGATTCAGCAAAGTGACTGAAACTCGTTGAGACACCTAAACATCTTCCACAGCCGAGCTCACATCAAATGCAATTGTGTTGGCCGTTTTGTTTCCGGCAGATGGAATCATTTAATTGGAAATCTTCGATTGATAACATTAGAAAATACTGTCACGAAATCGATAGCAATCTGCAATCATTGTAGTGCATTTATCCAGAACTGCACAAAACAGAAGTACTTCTCCGAGAAAAGGCTCTGCTATATGTTGCAGAGCTAACTCTGCAGAAGCTTAACGAGCTATCCTAAAAAACCACTAAGCCA